TGTGGTTTAAAGGCCCGTCTAATGGGTTAATCACTCTCGCGAGAGGGGAAAGTTTGCCAATTATAACCCCTTCTCGGTTTTCCTTTTCCTTCTTTTTCCAGGGCGGCTCGCGGGCTCGGCTCTAGAGCTTTGATGTTGATGTTGTTCATTATTATTATTGTTATTATTATTTATTGTTTTTATTATTATATTATTATTATTATTATTATTTATATTATTATTATTATTATTATTATTATTATTATTATTATCATTATTATTATTTTTATTATTATTATTATTATTATTATTATTGTTCATTATCGCTTCTGGGTCTATGGATGAACTCAAAAGATTTTCACTTTCCAGGCAGTATTTGACTCTTTCCTTTTTCTTTCAGTTGCATCAGTGATTAACCATTTCACTCTCCTTTTGCAAACGCCATTTTTAGAACACTCTTGGTTAAACAAAATGCGCTGAACCAAAAATTCTAGATCACCTGCGCCGCCACTTTCACTCTATTTATGCGTACTGCGCCGCGAATAGTTTCCCCGTGCGTCTTGCGTTATATATTAAAAGGAAACATTCCTTTGGCTTATATATATGAGCGCCCCCTAAGCTTCATTTACCTTCCATAATGATTATGTATTATGCAAATTACCTCCTCCTTTCCCCTTGCCCCCTCTCCCCCTCGCCCCTGATACTCCTCCCCCTCGCCCCCTGCCCCCCCTTTTGCCTTCATTTGGCTAATTAGAAGGAGACAAAGCGTCGTCGTAGCCACAGAGTCTCGCGAATCCGGCTCCAGTATCCACGTCGCTTCGTGAATTCGGACAACGCCTGTAAATCGGTGTCGAGCGAAACTAAAAAGAAATTAAAAGAAAAAGAGAAATAAAAGCGGGTTAGGATCGGGTTGTGAAATCGTTCATTCAACGTAAGAGAAGATGACTTGCGTATGTCGTTCTTCCGGCAGCGGTGGCGGTCTGGGTTTTGGTCGTGAGAGACCGCGGTGTGAACGGAGTGTGTAAGTGGATGTGCGTATGTGTGCGTGGCATATTTAGCGGTGGTTTTTTTATTGCCTTGGTCGTTGTTAACGAGGTGTATACATGTACACAATTATTATTATTGTTTTAATTAGATTTGTATTCGGATCTTACGGCCGACCTCTCATTTTTTTTTTCTTTTTTTAAAAAGCCGCCAAAGTCATCTCGCTCCTTCACGTCTCGTTCCTCCTCGTTCCCTTCCACGCCTTCCAGGTTATCCCGCTCTCTCTCCCAGTCCATTTCCCTCAAGCCAGCTAGTCCTCCACTCACCATTTCCCTCCTTTTTTCCTCTCCCGATCTTCTTTCGTTTCCCAGTCAGCGCCATTAATCTCTCGCCCTTTCGGCGCTGCTCCTCCCCCGCCCATTCTTTTAGTGGTCAAGCAGTTCTACAAGACGTCGGTGGGCGAGGAGTACGTGATCCGCGGGAACTCGGCGATCCTCAAGTGCAACATCCCGTCCTTCGTGGCCGACTTTGTCAAGGTCACGGGCTGGACCACGGATGCCGGGGAGACTTTCACTCCGAGTGACGATTATGGTAATGCTTGGGCGTGCGCGTGACAGCGTTGGGTGCCACGTGCGCCGGGGAATGCTAATATGGGCTGGGGCGGGGAGGGTGGGCGGGAGGGGAAGGAAGGGTAGGAAGGGAAGGGGAGGAAGGCGGCAGGGAGAGGAGGGGGGGGGAAGCTGCCGAGGGAACCATTACTGCTCTTTACCTTTCTTGGCAGCGGAATTTATTGCTGAAACTTTTCCTTCGTCAACGAAAAGCTAATCTTTTGCGTTTGCATTTTCAGACGTTCCTTCTTATTTACGATTGCAGCTTAGGGGTTCGAACGAGTAACAAACAGAACACGGAATTGAAACGAAATAGCAGCTTCCTTAAAGTTCTAAAGCGAGTCCGAGGAAAGGGAGGGGGAGGAGGGGAGGGAGAGGGGAGGGGAAGGGGAGAGCAGTGGCTCCTTAAGTGCTCCGGGTTTGTGTTTCTTTTTCCGTCGCCGGATTTCCTTCCTTTCAGTGACCTCGCAGCTCGCCTCGTCTCTGGTGCTGGGTCGCGGCTCGACTGATGATTTTCTCTCTTCCTTTTTCAGGCCCATCACACAAAATTAAAACTCCGGTTCCTTTTCTTTCAGGGTATCTTATTTCACACGTAGATTTTTAATGTTTCTTTTGTTTTGATTCTTTTTTTTTTTGCCTGGCTTAAGAATATGCGAATTTTCGAACGGACTCAGTCGTACAAGATTCTTCCGGTATTTCTATCAAAAGTACAATTCGTCTTTACGGTTTCCCGAAAGTACCTCCTCACTTGAACCATCACCCCGCACGCACACCCCCATTCGCATCCATTAGCCCCCCCCCTCCCGCGCCCTTGCACCGCCCCAGTGCCAGGGCCCCACGTGATCGGGTGCCAGTCCTCGATAGGGCATGAATGACGGCTAACGACTCCATTCCTCCAGTTGTGCACCAGGAGTACGAGACGCACGTGGTTCCCGAGAGCGTGATTCGGGGTAACTCGGCCATCCTCAAGTGTAACATTCCCTCCTTCGTCGCCGACTTCGTGAGCGTGCAGGCGTGGCTCACAGACAAGGGCGAGACGTATTATCCATCGGAAAATTATGGTAATGGATGAGATTAAGCGAGAAATGGGGTGACTAATTTTATTCGGTGTTTCAGCTTCTTTTTTTCAGGATATTGTCATTCTTTGACTTTTTTCCTTTGGATTTCAGGTGATGATTGGTATTGAAATTTATCTGATATTTCGTTTTGCGCATTTTTTCTCGAAATGAAAATTACATCAACCGCAACTTCACTCGACAAACCTCTACACACCCACCTTTCCCATCCCCCTTTCCCCCCTTCCCCTCCCTCCCGACCCTCTCGACCCTCCCTGACCCACTTCGACCCTCCCTGACCCTCCCCGACCCGCCCCGACACTCTAATTGAAACTGGTCCCTTTTACCGCCGACTAAACCCCGCTCCTTCTGCCAGTGGTCCACCAGGATTACCAAACCGACGTGGTTCCCGAGTACGTGATTCGGGGCAACTCGGCCATCCTCAAGTGTAACATTCCATTGTGAGCGTTCGACAAGCGATCTTATCCTTTGACCGTCGACCTCTCGCCGAGGGGGGTAGGGGAGAGGGAATGGTGGCGGGGTATGAAATGTGGTTGATAATTCTCCTTTTTATCTCTTTCTCTTTCCGCAGGACGGTAGATATTTTTTAAGGGAAGTTTATTTGCTAACTTTCGCTTCATCTCCACAGGAACTTTTTTTTTTATTGGCTTTGATTATTCACCGTACGAAATCGGGACATGGTTGGTTTGTTCAGGTGGATTCTGCCTCCATTATTTTGGCTTTCATTTGGGGCGTGGTGTTCAGAGTAATAGGGAAAATGTTCTCCTTTCCTTGATGTTGTTTTAGTCCTGACTTGTCGTTTGCGTGTCTCAGTTGATTCGAACTTTTAAGCCGATCAAACGGAAGCGGTTTGTCCCGTTTTCTTTGACACGGAAAGTACTCGCCTTCGCTTCTGGAAAAGGGTGAAATCCCTCGCGACCTCTCGGGTGTTGACAGCTTGACCCGCCGCGTCTTTCATCCTCTCTCATCGCCCTTCATATCACCCTCACCCCCCCCCCCCCATTCCTCATCCTCGTTTTTCACCCTTCATCTCACGCTCAGATCACACCCACACTTGAACTAAAACCGATCGGAACCTCCAGTGTTTCACCGCCCCCTCCCCCTCCCTTCCTCCTTCAGTTGTACAGCAGGATTACTTGACGGACGTGAGCCTCGAGTACGTGATCCGCGGTAACTCGGCCATCCTCAAGTGTAACATTCCCTCCTTCGTCGCCGACTTCGTGACTGTGCAGGCCTGGCTCACGGACAAGGGCGAGACCTTTTATCCCTCAGATGACTATGGTAAATGCTGGACTGAGAGAGATGGTTGATGTCACTCGTTTACATTTTTTTTACAGGTTATTCTGACTAATTATCCTTTTTTACAGGGTTCTCGGCATTCATCTTTTCACCCATTTCAGGAAATAATATTTTTTTCCCTGTGCTTTCTCACTTAAGTTTAATTTCGCTTTCAGCCTATGCGACGGGTATGCTTCCTGACATTAATAAAACTCCTTCTTTTTTCCCCTCTTTTCTCGTAATATAACGCCATCTTGTGACAAAACCCGGCGATCGTTTTCTCTGCTTTAACCGGCGTCCAATTCCCGTTTTCTACAGTGGTCCACCAGGAGTACCAGACTGACGTTTATCACGAATACGTCATTAAGGGTAACTCCGCTATCTTCAAGTGTAATGTGCCGTCTTTCGTGGCCGATTTCGTCAGCGTGCAGTCGTGGGTGACGGATCAGGGCGACACCTACTTTCGAGGAAATGATTTTGGTAATAATGGGAAAACGAGTGACAAGGGATCGGGCTGGGTTGTGGCTTTGCGGTTGTGATTGATGTTATGGTTTTGGTTTTCAGGTTTATATTCATATTATGGTTATTTTTTTTTCAGTCCTCATCTATTTTCTTTCAGGTTGGTTGGTGTCGAGACTAATAATTTTTTTTCTCTTTTTTAGGGAGCAGTTATATGTTTCTTTCAGAGGCATTCTTGTTGGATTTTATTACTGTTGAATTTGTTTTGGTTGCTTTTCGTCGAGGTTTGTCCGATTTGCTGCTTCTTCTCTCTCTCTCTCTCTCTCTCTCTCTCTCTCTCTCTCTCTCTCTCTCTCTCTCTCTCTCTCTCTCTCTCTCTCTCTCTCTCTCTCTCTCTCTCTCTCTTCTCTCTCTCTCCCTCCCCTTCATTTCCCCTACCCTCTCTCCTCTACCCTTCTTACCCACCCACTCACCTTCCCTTCCTCCCTACCTACCATCCTTTCCTTCATCCTCGCATTTTCCCTCCCACCACCTCTCACCCCCCTCTCCGTCGTCCCTTTCCCCACCCCTTCCCTCCTGCCGTTCAAACTAACCCCCCCTCCTCCCTCCAACCCAGTGGTCCCCCAACTGTATTCGGCCGAAGTGCTGACGGAGTACGTGATCCGCGGGAATTCGGCGATCCTTAAGTGCAACATTCCCTCCTTCGTCGCCGACTTCGTGAGCGTGCAGGCCTGGGTTTCCGACGACGGCAGCGTCATTTATCCTTCCGATAATTACGGTAAATGAGGGATGACTATGGGGCTTCTCCCACCGAGGGAGCTCCCCCTCCTCGCCTACCCCCCTTCCCCCTCTTCCACTGCGCGCCCGATGGAAGACTTTATTTATTTATTTATTTTTTATTATTGTTTTTATGGTTTTAGTTATTTTTTCAGGCTGCTAATAGACTTTCTCCTTTCAGAAATTATTAATTGTTGTTTCCGAGATGTATTTTTTTCCAGGAGTATTCTTATTAATCGCGTATTACTTTTTTTTTTTTATTAATGTCGCGTGTGTGAAATTAAGGCGTGGCGAGAGATTATTTAATCAAAAGTTCTTTATTCCCGTTGTTTGTTCTCCTTCCCTTCGCCAATTTCCCTCCTCTCTTTTCCCTTCCTTGTTTCTCCTTTATCCATTTCTAAATTCTCCGTCCTACTCTTTCCTGCGGTTTATCTCTTCCATCCTCATCATCCAATTTCTCCTCCTCTTCCATCTCTCTCTCTCCTCTCCCTTCCCCTTCCTCGTCCCCCTCCACTTGCCTTTTCCTTTCTCCTTCTTTCCTCCCCCTCTTCCTCCTCTTGCCTATTCCACTTCTCTTTTTCTTTCCCCTTCTTTCCTCCTCTTGCCTCTTGCCTCTTCCACTTCCCTTTTCCTTTTTCCTTCCCCTCTTCCTCCTTTTGCCTATTCCACTTTATTTTTCCTTTCTCCTTGTCCTTCCCCTCTTCCTTCTCTTGCCTCTTCCGCTTTCCCTTTCCTTTCTCCCTTTTCCTCCTCTTGCCTCTCCCCCTTGTCCTTCTCCCTATCCTCCCCCCTTTTTACCTTCTCTTGCCTCTCCCCCTCGTCTTCTCTCTACCCCCCCCCCCCATGGCCCGACAGTGGTGCCCCAGACGTACCAGACGGAGGCCGACAACGAGTATGTGATCCGCGGCAACTCGGCCATCATGAAGTGCGAGATCCCTTCGTATGTGGCCGACTTCGTGAGCGTGCAGGCGTGGGTGGACTCGGAGGCGGAGGTTTTCTACCCCAGCAGCGACTACGGTAACTGCTCGAGTCCCCCCACCCTCTCCTCCCTCCTCTTTTCGTTCCCCTTGCCCCCCCCCCTTTTTTCCCTTTTTTCTCTCTCGCCATCCTCCATGTTTCGACTTCTTTCTTTCCCCGTTCCCCTTTCTCCTTTTCCCCCCTTCCCTTTGTGATTTCTTTCCCCCCCGCGGCTCTCCCTCTTTTCTCCTTCTCTGTCTCTCTTCCGCCTTTCTTTGATTCGGCGTTTTCAATTTCATTTCTCTTTTTCCGCTTTTCTTTCGTCCTTTGTCGCCTCTGCTTGGCCTTCGGGTTAAAGAGCTTCGACTTTGCTTTTCAGGATGACGAGTAATGTGGATTTTCAAATTTCAGGTGTTTTTTTGGTAATCGCTTCTCTTTATAGATTTATCATCATCATCATCATCACGATTATCAATATTATTATTTTGTTGTTGTTATTATTATTTATTATATTATTATTATTATTATTATTATTATTATTATTATTATTTATTATTATTTTATTATTATTATCATCATCATCATTATCGGGTGGGTATGGAATAGAATACCACCAACAATCAACAAGAAGAAAAAAAACACATCACGAATCTCTTACCCTAATAATCCCTTAAATTCCCGCCCTTAACCCCCTCCCCCCTCCTCGCACTGCCAGTCGTCCACCAGTCGTACCAACTGGAAGCGCACAACGAGAACGTGATTCGGGGCAATTCCGCCATCATCAAGTGTGTCATTCCCTCCTTCGTCGCGGACTTCGTCAGGGTCCAGGCGTGGGTGGACTCCGAGGGCCAGGTGTACTACCCCAACGCCAACTATGGTAATTGAGGGATAGGCCTGTGACGGGTAGGCCTAGGGGGGGCGGTTGTGCTAAGGGTTGTGGGTGGGAGGAAGGGGCAGGGGGGGAGGGGGCGGTGGGAATTTGATTTATTTTGTGGATTTGATTATTTCTAGGCTTGTTTGTTTTAACTTTAATGAGAGGTGTTCCGTTGAATTTCAGGTTAAGGTCTGACATGATAACGATCCTTCTCTTCTCTCTCTGCAGATGAATTTGTTTACGTTTTATTCTATATCCGCTCTTTGCTGAATGATTTGGTTGGTGGGATTTTTTGGCCTTGAATCTCAGGAGACATATCTATCGTTCGCGTCCCTGATCACGAACCCATCCGTGCGTCCTTCGCGTCCTTGATCACGAACCAATCCGTACGTTCTTGATCACGAACCAATCCTACGTCCTTTGCGTCCTTGATCACGAAGCAATCCATTTGTCCTTCGCGTCCTTTTACTGCTTTTCCCCCGTCTGCCCGCGTCCTGCATCCCTCCCGCGTCCTTCTCGCCCCGGGTCGCTCTCCATCTCCCGCCCATTCGATTTTTTTTCTCGTCTTGGTTATTCCCTCGTCATCCTCCGCTTTACCCCCCCCCCCCCCCCCCGGCAGAAGGAGGCTGGAGGGACCGCTTCACATCTCGTCATCTCGCCCTTATTACTCGCTATCATCACCGCTTACATCATCACTCGGCCGTCTGCTCTCATCACCATCAAACCCCTTTTCCCTTTTTCCTCTTAACGGCCTCATCTGTGCACCTCCGCGGAAGCCCTCATCACCATTAGTCCTCATTACCGGGGACATTTTCACACATTTTTCGCGGTTCGTTAGAGGTTTCTCACGTGCTTCACCACCCGGATCTCCCTCGTCACCACCACGGGCTTCCCTCCTCTCGTTTCCTCCCTTTCATCACAAACGCAGGCATCACATTCGCTCGCTCATCACTCTCGCCTAACCTCCCCATGTTTCTCCGTCGGCGCCGTTGCCTGGTCTTCCACCTTCTCTTCCTTGGCATTTTTCACATCTCTTCCACCACATCTTCCGACATGACTGCCACTAATATTCCCACCATCAGTGTCTCTATCCCTCCACCTCCACTCCCCCCTCTTCTCCACCTCTACTTCCCCTATCTTTTTTACCACCACTTCCCCTACCACCTTCGCCTCCATTTCCTCCACCACCTTTTCCTCTACTTCCTCCGCCACCTTTTCCCCTACCTCCTCCACCACCACTGCTCCTATCTCCTCCACCGCCACTTTCCCCAACTTCCTCCACCACCCCCAACCTCGCCAAGCATCTCACTCCTTCGCCGCCTCCTCCAGTGGTGCCTCAGACGTACCAGATCGAGGCCGACAACGAGCACGTCATCCTTGGCAACTCGGCCATCATCAAGTGCGAGATCCCTTCCTTCGTCGCCGACTTCGTGGGCGTGCAGGCGTGGGTGGACTCGGAAGGGACGGCCTACTATCCCGGCCGCGAGAACTATGGTAAAGGATAGTTGCGGGGTCGGTAGAAGGGAGAGGGGAAGAGAAGGAGGGGGGAAAGAAGAAAAAGAAGAGGGATAGAAAGAGATATAAGGAAGGGAAGAGGGAGCGTGGTTGATGGAGATGGATGTTTTGATCGTCTTGTTTTTATCTCCTCATTTTCCTTTTCCTCTTCTCTTCTAGGTATGATAATTGACGACATTTTCTCCATATTTTTTGTTTACAAGTTTCAGCTCGCATCAGTCGCTGGTGTTGAAAGGAGAAATATGTCATTATCTTTCTAACTGAAAATCCTTAAAGGGACCACTACTGTACCTTCAACCTCTCCATCTTCTTTTCCTTTTCTCTCGTCCTCTCCCATTTCCCTCTCTCCCCCTTGCCCCTCCCTCTTTCCCTCTTTCCCCTTCCTCATTCGCCTTTCCTGTCCACCAAGACTAACGAGGTTTCCGCCCCAGTAATCTCCCAGGACTACCTGCTGGAGGCGGAGTCGGAGAACGTGATCCGCGGGAACTCGGCCGTGCTTAAGTGTAAAATCCCTTCCTTCGTCGCGGACTTCGTCAGCGTGCAGTCCTGGGTGGACTCTGAGGGGAAGCATTACTACCCCAACAACAATTATGGTAATTTAGGGGAAGCCGTTGGTGCTAGAAGGTCTCTAGAGCTGGAGGGTGGCTTGGGGCGCGACGGGGATTGTCCCGGGTTGGACTGATCGATGGCTTTCTCTTTTACAGGCTGGAGTATTACGTGTCATTTTCTCCCCTTTCTTTCTTTTGCTGCAGGATACGCTTGTTTGTGTGATCTTTTGGATATTTTTTTCTTGACATGAAGACATTCCTTTCTTTTTTTTTTGTCACCCCGCTCGGACACTCTCGCACATACTCTTCTGAGCCCAAACCTGAACATCATCTCACCACCAGTCAAGCATCAGCCACTTCGCATACCACTCGCTCTCACGTCACACCTGCCCCGTCTCGCTCCCCTCCCCTCCCCCTTTCGTCATCCCCCCTCCCTATCCCGCTCATCTTGCACCCCCTCCCCCTTCGCCCGTATGGCACGCCTGCCCCCTACCCCTTCCCCTCTCCCCTTAGTCTCACCTCCCGCTTATCCCTTCCCCTCCCCTCTTAGTGTCACCTCCCGCCTACCCCTTCCCATCACATCGCACCTCCCTTCCCTCCCTCTTTACGTCTCACCTCCCCTTCCCCCCTACCTCTCTTTACGTCTCACCTCCCCTTCCCCTACCGTCCGTCCACCTCCCCTTCCCCCCCCCCTTTACGTCTCACCCCCCCCCCCCCCCACCATTCAGCATTCCTCCCCAACACTAACGCCCTTGTTCTGCGACGCGTCAGTGGTGGCGCAGGACTACCAGACGGAGGCGGAGAACGAGTACGTGATTCGTGGCAATTCGGTGGTGATGAAGTGCAAGATCCCTTCGTTCGTGGCGGATTTTGTCTCCGTTCAGTCTTGGCAGGATTCGGAAGGGCGCAGGTTCTATCCGGCGGACGATTACGGTAATGGACGGCGCCGCGGAAACTTTTTTTTTTTTTTTTTTTTTTTTTTGGGGGGGGGAGGCGCTCATTCTTTTTTTGTTTGATTTGTATGGTTGTGCGGGAGTTTTTTCTTTATGTTTCTATGGTTGTCGTTCCGAATCGGATATTCTTTGTTCGTTTTTTTCTCTCACTCTT